AATTTTCCAAAGTCCCTCGTGGAAAAATCACTCCTAACATAGTTGCTTGTTTGCTACAGTTGAAGTGATGGTTTTATCATGTGTCAGTCGACAAGAAAATAATGTAGATTTAAATGTAAACCAAATGAATTTAAAGTACATTAAAAATACTTGAACATAAACATGAGACTGACTATTTTTAGAAGATTTTTTTAAAGAATAATGTTGCATTAGTAAAGGTTTCTTTAAATGTAATTTTCTTGCCTGACCCGTTTAATATTCCTTCATTCCTAACCTTGATATTTCACAGATCTCGCTGAACTTGTCTAACCACCCTGAACTGCACACATGCCCTGTGGCTTAAACTGATCACATTCTTGTTCTTTGTTGTGTTTAGTTTTTGTGTGCCACAATGAAGTACATCCTGGTTACTGGTGGAGTAATATCTGGTWTTGGTAAGGGTATAATTGCCAGCAGTGTCGGAACAATCCTTAAATCTTGCGGCCTTCATGTCACAGCCATCAAAATCGACCCCTATATCAATATTGACGCTGGAACCTTTTCACCTTATGAGCATGGTGAGTAATTTACTGCAAACTGCAACGGGAAGATTTCCTGGCATTGATCACCTGCTGCTTTGTTTAATTGCGTGAGCCCTGCAGCCCTGCAACTTGGCTTTGAACTGAAAGTGCTTCATGCATAGGTGTATTTTTGTAATAGTAATGAAAGCACATTGAATGTACTGTTAAAACAATTAAATGATAAATGAACATGATGTCTTATTATTTTTTTCAGGGGAGGTGTTTGTTCTTGACGATGGTGGGGAAGTGGATCTAGACTTGGGAAACTATGAGCGTTTTCTTGACGTCCGTCTCATCAGAGACAATAATCTCACCACTGGGAAGATCTACCAGTCGGTTATCAACAAGGAGAGGAGAGGAGATTACCTCGGCAAGACTGTGCAAGGTTTTAAACAGCTGTGTTTTGTTCAGTGATGTTTGTTTAGTGCTGAAAGTAAAGCTAGACATAAAACAAAATATGGTGAAAACCCAGAGTTGAGTTATAAAAAATGCAAACGCGCAATTTCATCAGAACATCACTTATGGTGTTAGTAGCTCTAAAGGCAAACATTCAATACTTTTTTGGGAAATGCTTTTTGTAAATGCATACAAAATGGCATTACCACAGGCATGCTTGAGAATAAGGATTGTTTGCTTTGCTTTGCAAATCTCTTATTTTGGTCTTTTCTTTCCCGCTTCAATGTTTTCTCAGTGGTACCCCACATTACAGATGCCATCCAGGAATGGGTAATGAAGCAGGCGAGGATATCAGTAGATGATGATGGCGTGGAGCCTCAAGTGTGTGTTATCGAGGTAAAGAGCTCTCAGCAAGTGCTTCAAGTTGATATCCAAGATTAATTTGGTCTCTAGAGTGAATAGTAACCCAGCCTGGTTTTGCCCAGTCAGAATGTCACATTAATACTCCTGCGGGTCATTCTTAAATGATTTGTGACCAATAAATTATTTTTTTAGTGTGTTCGAGAAATTGTGGTTTTGGAAAAAGTTAGAATTTGAGCATACTGCCAGAAGCAATAATATCTGCAGCTTTCAGCAAATCACTCTTGTAAATGCGTGTTTGAGTGAAGCCAGCGCATAAAATCATTTTCGAGAGACTGAAACAAAATCAAAACGGATAATGGATTTTTTGTGATCGAGGCTGTAAAATAATCCTGCTCTTTTCAGATAGGCTGCATTTCAAGCCAAGAAATAAAACAACCCATCAGTGTTTGATTCAGAGTAAAAGAAAGATAAATCTTGATGAAATAAATCAGTTCTTTGTTTATGGGACCCACTATAAAGCTTATTTCATCCATTAAAAAGTTGCAGCAGAAAAGCATTAGTTCTTCATTAGCAGAGTTATTTTACTATCCTGCCTGCAGCACTTTTTTCTTCATAGAGGATACATCAAACCTGTTCTGACAGTATTATGGTCCAAATACTCCTGACAACACAATGTTCTGTCTAAGCCCGTCAAGGAGAATGTAGGACATAGAGAATCATCCAACTTTATGGTCATGCATGCATATTTGGAGTCTAAGCAGTTGTTTTGTGTCAGCAGCTGGGAGGCACAGTGGGGGACATCGAGAGCATGCCTTTTATTGAAGCTTTCAGACAGTTCCAGTTCAAGGTGAAGAGAGAAAACTTCTGCAACATCCATGTCAGCCTAATACCACAGGTACGGGTTCACTAACATGGGCTGCAAGGAGTCCTCATATAACAAGAATATACCATGCAAAATCCACTTATTTATTTTGTTGTGTACTTTGAGTTTCTAGGAGTGCAGAAAAGTTTAATATAGTCTCTCCCGGTGCTGCATAGYTATCTCTATATTCTTTTTGGGTCATATTTTTCAACCCATTCAGTAAGAAGGATTTAAAAGCATGATATGTCTCCTTTAAAGGGCCTGTGACATGCCTATCCTTCAAATACAACAAGTCAAAGAAAATATCTTCATATTTAGGAAAATTGGTATAAAACACATGATTTAACCCATTTTGTCCCATAACTGGCAGATTTTCTTTTGAATTTGGCTCAGCCAAAGTGACACAGGAAGTGACATCAAAGGGGAACTCTCTAAGAAAGAAAACTCCCTGGTCTTTGTTTATTAAAACAATATTTTTTGAACTCTGACTTTTCTTCATCTCTCTCTTATAGGGACTAATATTATCCAAAGAAACATCAGATGATTCCCTGCTGTCGGTTGTTAGTTGTTGTAGCATCGCTCTGTTTACATGCAGACATTCCCCTTTGACATCACTTCCTGTTACTTCACATGCAAATATCTCAACAACGGTTCATCTCAGTGGCATGAAATTTGTTTTGCAATATGTTATCAATGTTATCTTTCCAAAAATACATCCACATTTATCACAAAATTGATGTCACAGGCACTTTAATGTCAGTCAGTTCTGCCAGTCTGATAATTTGTAAAATTTACTGTCCAGGCCACAGTTTCAATGCCCTGCCCTCATGTTCTGTTTTTAATCAAGTAAAGTGAAACCAAATAAAACAAATATTACAAAACCAGTATATAAAATAACACTTGTGTGTGTTTTTCCACACAATTTAATGTAATGTAAAAGGTTAATAGTTTTTTGCTTCAATAAATCGATGTTTGGTGTTACAGTTCAACAAAATGCAAAACAAAAATATCATTACTGACTTGTTTTGCACTTTGCATTTATACAAATTTGCATTTGTTCTCAGCCCAGCACTACAGGAGATCAGAAAACCAAACCAACCCAGAACAGTGTCCGAGAGCTCAGAGGCCTGGGTTTGACTCCAGATTTGGTGAGATATTGAACTCAGCATTTTCACCACATTTAGTAGATCTTTGTCACAGAATTAAAGGACAGTGCTGCTGGGTTAGAGTTTCTTAAAACAGTCCTGAGTGTCAGATGTGGCTTTATCAACATTATGACACACAAACTGTTTAGTAATGTCCTTTCCTGTTGTCTTAATTAATTTTGTAGCAAATATTTACCATCGATTCCCTCTTTACTTTTCCTCTTCTGTCTTCTCTAACCTGACTCTTACTCCGGTCCTCACATCTTTTGCCTCACATTACAGATTCTTGCTTTCTGCCCTTGTCACACCCTCATTCACTTTATGATCAACTGATGGCATTATTAAAATATTGCCCTTTTTTCACCTTCACAAGGGGAGAACGTTTGGGCGAAAAGTGTCTTTAGTTCTTCCACCATGTTTTTGTTTTAATACTTTATTTAGTCTGGTTGAACGCGTGAGGCTAATGTGACCTATTAATTTTTAATTAATTTGCTCTTTTAGATTTACAGCTCATTTGTGTTTGTGCCCTTTTAATTATAGTTCCCCTGAATAATTTAATTCGCTCAATTTAAGAAATAAATCTGCTTTAAAAACACTGTTTAATTGCTCTCTTTCCTGCATTCTGATAAGATGCCCACGACGATAGTCAGCCTCTTATTTCAACCCTTAATTSCCAGAAATAATTTAATCTACTTGCAAAATTGATTAAAATGACAATAATATTCTGAACATTTCACTACTGGTAAAGGAGGCGCTTCCATTTACTGCAGTTATGTTATTTATTTTTTTGTAGAATGTCTGACTGATAAATAGAAGCAATGTGAATTGATTCAAATCTTCTTGTTGTTTTTAACCTGAATGTTAACAGCTTTGCTGTCAGAGCCAAACAAACATGCAAACAATTACTAATTCAAGATCAATGAAACAAATTCTGTTTTTTTTTCTTTTTTAGCTTTCTCCAGCAAGTTCACTCCAGTTTGATGTTCACATTTTCCTATTGTTTTATTGTCCATTAAGATTTTTCTTGTGTAAGTCATGATGGAGGGATAAAAAAACAACTTTCCTTAACCTTCTACAAACTTTATTGAAATATTTATTAGATTTTCAGTCTTTAGAGGTTATTTAAACTTTTGTCAAACTTTGTCGAAGTAAACAGTCCAACTTGAAAATGTCTTGTTATCCAAATACCATAAAGAAAACACTGTACTGGCAAGATATCCTCAGGTCAGAGACGAAAGTCAGTGAATTGTGATTTCTCAGCACTTCAGGGCAGTTATGCGCCAAGGAAGGTGCAAACTGAATGTCAATGTGTCCATTAAATATTTTCAAAATCTAGTTTTAAAGTCCATACATTCTGTTGTAGACTTTTAAATGATGCTTACTTCCATATTTTTATTGTCAGATTATATGTCGCTGTACTACTCCTCTGGAAACATCTGTCAAAGAGAAGATTTCCTTGTTTTGTCATGTGGAGCCAGCGCAGGTATTGTGTTGTCTTGTCAATAAATAATAGATGTCAAAATAGATGTAGAGTTATGGACTGATGCAGTTTATATAAGGAGCACTTAGACTCACAGTTGAAATATGCTATTATTTTGTGTCAATTCAAGGGAACTACTGCTGCATATTGCAAGAACAAAGGTTTTGTAAGTTAAAGTACATGATGTTCTACAGTCATATGAAAAAGTTTGGGCACCCTTGTTCATTTTCCTGATTTTTCTTTATAAATCATTGATTGTTTAGAGTAAAAATATCAGTTAAACATAAATAGGGGACACAAACAGTGATATTTGAGAAGTGAAATGAAGTTTATATGATTTACAGAAAGTGTGCAATAATTAGTTACAAAATAAGGCAGGTGCATAAATTTGGGCACCATTTTCATTTTATTGATTTCAAAATCTTTAGAACTAATTATTGGGACTCAAATTTGGTTTGATAAGTTCAGTGACCCTTGACCTCCATACACAGGTGACTCCAATTATGAGAAATCGTATTTAAGGGRGGCAATTGTAAGTTTTTATCCTCTTTGCATCTTCTCTGAAGAGTGGCAKCATGGGAGTCTGAAAACAACTTTCAAATGAGCTGAAAACAAAGATTGTTCACCGTCATGGTTTAGGGGAAGGATACAGAAAGCTATCTCAGAGATTTCAGCTTTCAGTCTCCACTGTGAGAAACATTGTGAGAAAATGGAGGACCGCAGGCACAGTTCAAGTGTAAGCTCCAAGTGGTAGAGCAAGAAAAATCTGGAATAAACAGAAGTGAAGGATCAAAAAGAAAAAAAATGTATAGGTCTTCTGGACGGGTTCTTCTCTAATGAAACGTTTCGTCTCTCCTCCAAGAGACTTCTTCAGTCTGAGAGTTTCAGGCAAAATTCAGGCTTTTAAGCACTGCCTCCATGTGACTGATACTCACATCACATGGCTATTGTTGACACCTAATTAACACCTATTGTTAACGGGGTGGAGTGATACTGGCAATAGCAGCACTGTAGGAGGGGGACAACTGAAAACGGAGGCCTCCAACATCCTTCAGAAGTGAAGGATGTTGAGAACAGTCAGAGTCAACCCACAGACCAGCACCAAAGACCTACATCATCTTGCTGCTGATGGAGTCACTGTGCATCATTCAACTATTCAGCACACTTTACACAAGGAGATGCTGTATGGGAGAGTGATGCAGAGGAAGCCTTTTCTCTGCCCACATCACAAACAGAGCTGCTTGAGGTATGCTAAAGCACATTTGGACAAGCCAGCTTCATTTTGGAATAAGGTGCTGTGGACTGATGAAACTAAAATAATTATTTGGGCAGAACAAGGAACAAGGACTGTTATGCATGGAGGAAAAAGAACACAGCACTCCAAGAAAAACACCTGCTACCTACAGTGAAATGTGGGGGTGTTTCCATCATGCTGTGGTGCTGTGTGGCCAGTACAGGGACTGGGAATCTTGTTAAAGTTGWGGGACGCATGGATTCCAACCAATATCAGCAGATTCTGGAGACCAATGTCCAGGAATCAGTRACAAAGCTGAAGCTGCTGAAGCCGGGGCTGCATCTTCCAACAAGACAACCACCCAAAACACTGCTCAAAATCTACAAAGACATTCATGCAGAGGAACAAGTACAACGTTCTGGAATGGCCATCTCAGTCCCCAGACCTGAATATTATTGAAATCTGTGGTGTCACTTAAAGAGAGCTGTCCATGCTCAGAAACCATCAAACCTGAATGAACTAGAGATGTTTAGTAAAGAAGAATGGTCTAAAATACCTTCAGCCACAATCCAGACTCTCATTAGAAGCTGTAGGAAGTGTTTAGAGGCTGTTATTTCTGTGAAAGGAGGATCTACTAAACATTGTGGTAAGGTTTTTTTTATGGTGCCCAAATTTATGCACCTGCCTAATTTTGTTTAAACAATTATTTCACACTTTCTTTTAATCATATAAACTTCATTTCACTTCTCAAATATCACTGTGTTTGTCCACTATATGATATATTTAACTGATATTTTTAATCCAAACTGTCAATGATTTATAAAGGTAAAACAGGAAAATTAACAAGGGTGCCCAAACTTTTTCATGACTTTATTTGCTTCAGTAGTTGGACATTAAAAATTCAGAACATCAGCAAATATCTGAAAGAAATTCTGGCCAAAAATGCTTTGAAGTGAAGTTCTTATAAATGCTATCAGATATAATTGTGCAGGAAAAAAATATTACTGACATCTAATATACAACATAAGTTCAAACTGAATTGTCAGGATAGCTGTAGTTTTAACTTCAAAGTAAATACTATAAAATTAACATGTTTTTTATGATTTGCAGGTGAACTGTGTCCAAGATGTGTCCTCAGTTTATAGAGTTCCTCTGCTGTTGGAGGACCAGGGTGTTGTTAATAATCTGTGCCAGCGGCTGAAGTTACCTGTTGAGATGAAGCCTGGGAAGATGCTCCTAAAGTGGAAGGAGTTGGCTGACAGGTCGGATTACTTTTCTAACTGAATACCAATACTTTTCAGTTATTGAAATTTAAATTACCACACCGGACCAGGATATACCATATTAATGTGAATCATTTGCTTTTCTTTCAGAACTGATTGTCTCTTGGAGCATGTTTCTATAGCCTTGGTGGGCAAATACACCAAGTTATCCGACTCCTACACATCAGTTATTAAAGCCTTAGAACACTCGGCTCTCGCCATTAATCGCAAACTAGAGGTCAAGGTAACTTTGTACAGCACTAAGAATCTGCTGTCTCAGATAACTAGTAGAACCTGAAAAATGTTATGAGCACGCCTTTATTTATACAGATGATAAGCTGTTGTCAGAATGTTGACTGAACATTTCTAACTTCTGCTGTTTATTGTTATTGAAGTATATCAACTCTGAAGACTTGGAGACAGCAACTGTAAACGATGAACCAGTTAAATATCACGAAGCATGGCAGAAACTCTGCAGTTCTCAGTAAGTAGGCAAAACTGAGAGAAAACTTGTGACAATAGAATAAAAGTGGAATTTTCTCGGTCATGAAAATTAAGAAATTATTCACAAGACGTTATCACTGCTAATTTATAGCTGTAACTTTAGGACTTTCAAATATTTCTTTTAACAAGTTGGCAATTTTATGTTTAGAATATATTGGAATGTTGGGCCTCATGCAAGAACCSTTCGTGCACACAGATTTGTTCTTAAGTTGTGCGTACGAGTGGTTTAGGAGAATTTGTGGCATTCACCAATGTTTTCGTATTCTAAGATTTTTTTTTCAGATAAAAACAAAATTCATGTGTGATCCAGACCTGTCGAGTATTTTATGAGCAATCAGTCTGCTGTTTTCCAAACTGATTTTTTCTCATTAATAACTTTATATTTCATTAGTTTGAAGATATTTTGAGTCGAAAATAAATCACACTCCATAATTATGTTGACAATAGGCTATTCTGTTTGAACTGGAATTAGACTTTAAATGTAACTAACGACATAAATAGGTTAGATGAAGTTAAATTGTCTGTTAATGCTGTTGTATAACACCACAATATTAATATGAAGATCTCARACTAAAAACCAACTTAAATTATGTATTAATTGAAGTTTGGAGACATTTTAACGTGTCTTTTCAGAACCGCATCTAACACTTGCGACGGTCGGGAGGGGTGGCGGTGGTGTGTGTGTGTGTGTGTGTGTGTGTGTGTGT